CGGACATTTCTCAGCGAAGGAAGAAGGCAGCTGGTTCCTGTGGACCAGGCTGCTCAGGTGGAGCAGCCGCCCAGGGGCTAGCCTCCCTCAGGCAATCAAGAGAAGGCATGGGGCTGATGCTACATCCCTGCAGTGTGCCCGATGATTTACAGTCTTGCTCAGGAGGCGTTACTCTTATCCGTACTTTGTATGGGAGGAAACTGAGACTCAGAGGGGCGAATGGACTTGTCCAAGATCCTGCACGTCGTCGAGGGTGGAGCTGAGATCTGAAGTCCTGGTCTGTATGATCTGAATCCAGAGTCATTTACACTATTAATAATAACCTTACCGGGCGCCTGGGTGGCTCAGTTGGTTAAGCGACTGCCTTCGGCTCAGGTCATGATCCTGGAGTCCCGGGATCGAGTCCCGCATCGGGCGGGCTCCCTGCTCGGCGGGGAGCCTGCTTCTCCCTCTGACCCTCCCCCCTCTCATGTGCTCTCTGTCTCTCTCATTCTCTCTGTCTCAAATAAATAAATAAAAATCTTTAAAAAAATAAAAAAAAATAATAACCTTACCGTGGTCAATTACTATGTTTGACTCTGTACATTGGGGTATCATCACCGCCCCTCCCATTTTAGGGAAGAGGAAACAGATATTAAGAGACGTGAGTTGCCAAGATGGACAATGGATCTCAAAAAACCCACAAAGAAAACAAAGCAAAAAAAACCAAAACCCAGTCAACTGACTGCTCAGGCTTGGGCCCCTGACCCCACCCTCCGTTTGGGCTTAGCCCCACGGAGACCACGTGAGCCTGGAAACTGAAATGCTGAGTCAGAAAACAGGGGGCGCCTTGCGATACGACGCCGAGGCAGGCTCTGGGCATTTGTGCTCCAGTGGCGGCCGGCTGGGGAGTCAGCGGGCGACAGCCGGAGCTCCCCTGGGAGCCCCCGAGAGACCCCTCACGCTGGCAGACAGTGTGGCCGTTGGAAGAGGCTTGAGGTGGCGGTGGCGGTGACAACTTCCTTTTGAGTAATAACATTTACTGAAAAGCAATTCTGCTTTTAGCACCAGAAGTTCATCACCCTCACAGGCAGGCGCCTAAGAATACCTTCCTTCAACCACAGTTCGGAGATTCACACAGATTCCCTTCTGCCTTACCTCCAGCACAGTTTCGCATTTGGTGTTGAAGGGAAACCAAATACCGCAATTATTGGAGGAGGCGGGAGGGGTGCAGAGAGCAGGGTGAAGCCGGGGGGCCAGGTGGCATCGACCACAGCCCCCAAGGCCTCCGCAGGCAGCCTCCAGGCAGGGGCCCAGCCCCTTGCTCTTCAGTTACTGGAAAGACATCGGCAAGCTCAGAGTGAAACCCAAGAGCTGACAATTTCTCTTCCTTTTACAAGAAAAAGAAAGTGATTGTCCTTCAAGCAAGAGTGACTTTGGGGGCCGGGGACTTGCCCTGGCCCCTCTGCAAATTAGAGGCAGGGCCGCAGCTACTCCACAGGCCCTGGGCCCTTGCCTGCCACCCCTCCATTCATGCTGGGATCCTTTGAATGGCTCTTTTGTCCATCACCGAAAATCCAATGTGCGCCTGGGTAGGGATGGTCTTAAATGTCAGGCACTCCCCCAGGCCCCGGACAGCTATGGGACGGCTGAGGGCGAGGGAGAAGGCACAAGCGGGGAAGAGAGGCAGGAGGCTGTGAAGAGTGGCTCTATGAGGGCCCTCCCTCCTCACCTGATTGGCCCCCAGACTCGCACCAGAACCAGAGCCAGTCAAGGAAATGGAAAGACTCTGGGTGTCACACAGAGAAGGGTTGAAGTTCCACCTTTGCCATTCCCTGGCTTTGTGACCTGGGGCAAGTAACTTCACCTCTCTGAGCCTCAGTTTCCTCATCTCTAAGATGGGGATAATAGTAGCAAGTCAGGTCATGGCCCTCCACTACTCAGGATCCTCACGTTGGCTCTCACCTCACTTGGCAGAAAAAGAAAAACCGATCTTCCCTGTGGCCTACTCAGGCCCCACATGATCTGCTCTCCCCTCCCCCTTACAAGCTCATCTCCCTCTATTCGCTCTCGTTCCCTCCCCTCTGGCTAAACTGCACGCCTTGTTATTCCACCAAACATGCTAAATACACCCCTGCCTCAGGGCCTTTGCACTTGCTGTTCCTTCTTTCTGTAACACCCTTGCCCCAGATACCTCTTCTTTACCCTATTCAGGTCTCGGTTTAAATGCCCCCGGGAGGCCTGCTCTGACCTCCTCTTTTAAACCGCTCCCCGTTACTCTTTATCCTTTTACCCTGCGTTGATTTCCCCTGACAACTTAACATTATAATTTTGGAAGTTTGTCACTCTCCACCCTCCAGACCCTGAGCTCCAAGGACACAGAGTTCAGTTCTATGTTATTCTCCACGTACTCTTTGGAGCCTGACACATGGTAGAAGCTCCCCAAATGTTTGTTGACTGAACAAGTGCAGGGTTATATGGGGAGGATGAAAAGATATGTACATAGATGGTTCAGCACCAGCACAGAGTACTTGCTCACTAAACAGTACTTCCTTTTCTCCCTTCCTGGCACCAACCTGGCCCACGTGCTCATTGACTTCCTGCCATAGAAGGATGCCTTTTACAGATACAGAACCAAGGCCAGACAGCCCAATGATCTGCCTCAGCTCACATAGCAGGGTGAGGTTTTGAAGTCTTATCTGTGGGGCTCTTGGACTCCTGAATGATGGATACTAACTGGGCCTGGCCGGTTAGTATCAGGCTGAGGGAAATGGCTGATGGGGCGCTTCAGACCCTTGAGAGGGCTGAGGGCAGTGGGGAGTTGGCTCCGGCATTGAGGGTCTCCAGGCAACATTGATCCTTGGGACCAGGTTCATGTCCCTGCCCAGCAGTCTCACAGTTCCCATCAAGGGGGCTCAGGGTTCCCAGAGAGGGGCTTTTTCAATTTTCTGTTTCTGGAACATTCTGTCCCAGGAAGGGCAGACACTCAAGGAGCTGCTGGAGCCTCAGAGACCAGGGGACTCGGGTGTCCTCTCTCCCCGGCACCCAGCCAGTTCCTGGACAAGAGGGACTTTCCAGAGAAGTCTGTCTCCTGGCTCCCTCAGAGCCTGCCCAACAGACTATCAGCCAAGGTCCCCACGAAGCCCCGCCCTGCCTTGGTTTCCCTGCCTTTACTTCTGAGAGAGGCTAAGTAGTCTGGGGAGGAACAGGCCTGACATGAGTGTGGTCTTCCCTAGGCCTGGCATTTAGGAGTTTGGGAGCCACAAAGTCTAGTCTAGGGTGGGCTGGGCCTTTGCCTCTGGGTCTCATCTGGAGCTGAAGGTTTTGCCTCTTTTCCCATCAGAGTTGCCTTGGCTGTCTGAGGGCCCCTCCCACAACTGCTACAGCAAGGGGGATGCAAGTGAGACTCTCGGGAGGACAGTCTGCTAACCCTTTATCGTACTCGAAGGTGACCGTACCCATTATGCCGTCTAGAGCAGACCTTGCTGACAGGCTGCCCACGGGCCCAATCCAGTCCGGGGATATGTTTGGTTTGGCCTTTGAAATATATATATATATTTTTAAAGATTTTATTTATTTATTTGACAGAGACAGCGAGAGCAGGAACATAAGCAGGGGGAGTGGGAGAGGGAGAAGCAGGCTTCCCGCAGAGCAGGGAGCCTGATGTGGGACTCGATCCCAGGACTCCGGGATCATGACCTGAGCCGAAGGCAGCCGCTTAACGACTGAGCCACCCAGGCGCCTTGGCCTTTGAAATATTTTTAAAAATGTGAATCAGTTGCCAACATTTGAAAGACAAGGAGATTTCACATGAAATCCATTTTCTCCAGCTTCACTTGAAAAATGAGAAGATCTAGCTAGACTGGGGCCACATCCCTGCAGGGCAGAGAAAGGCGGGAATGGGCGGGGTGTGCCTGCTTTCAGAGCGGCACATAGTAGGTCCTCTCCTCTTCACCCCAGTCCCCGCTCAGCCCACTTTCCTCATATATGCTGCCTACTAGGATCTTGATGCACGAATAGGAGTTCACCAGACAAAGGAGTGGAAAAGCATTCCAGGAAAGGGGAACAGCACATGTCTATGGAATTCATCTGTTCAAGATTCACTTGACAAGTATGTGTTGAATGCTTACTATATGCGCCGGAGAATACAGCAGGAAACCAAAGAGCTCAAAGTCCCTGCCCTCCTGGAGCTCGTTATCGCAGCCAGCCCCTCTCAGCTGGGCACTCTTTCCTTCCCCAGGGACATCGGCACTGCTGGGAGGCATCTGTGGTGTCACGGTGACATGGGGGAGGGCATCTCGTTGGTCGAGGCCAGGGGAGCTGCTAGATGATTCCTGAAGGGCACAGGACGGCGTTTCATGACAAGGAATGATCTGGCCCCAACGTCCAAGATCGAGAAACCCTGGTTTAAAGATTTTATTTATTTATTTGAGACAGAGAGAATGAGAGACAGAGAGCATGAGAGGGAGGAGGGTCAGAGGGAGAAGCAGACTCCCCGCTGACCAGGGAGCCCGATGCGGGACTCGATCCCGGGACTCCAGGATCGTGACCTGAGCCAAAGGCAGTCGCTCAACCGACTGAGCCACCCAGGCGCCCTGAGAAGCCCTGGTTTAGGGGGAGATAATAAACCGGACACAGCAATACATGTACAATCTGAAGTCAGTGCTGAGAGTGTCCCAATTGATGAAACGGATCCGAGGGTGGCAACAGGGATTAGCAGGTGGGACAGCGGCCTGGGGGCGGCTCCACGGGAACAGAGACCTAGGGTGAGAGGGAACGGGGCCCTGGCGTCATCGTGGCTCATGGAGTAGCACTTCCCCTCTTTCTGCCTGGCTTTGACCTCAGCACAGCCTTGCATGTGGAGCAGGGCTCGGCGGTCCTGTGCCTGTTTTTACAGACAAAGAGATCTCGTCCGAGGTCACAAGCCCCTGTGAGGCCGACCCAGGCCACCTGACCTGACCTAGGACATTCGGGGGTCCCTGGCGGTGCTGATGGTAACTGAATTGCCTTCTCTCCTTCAGTCGTCAACAAACACCTGTGGGGGCCCACTGTGGCTGAGACGAACGGAGCAACTTCTGGGTGACTTAGCTCTGGTCACAGCACCTAGGAGTTACGCAAAAGATATTGGTCATGTGAACGAAAAGAAGGGATAAATGAATAAACAAGCAAGTCCATGTAAGAGAATGATCATGGCCAGCGCTGTTTGAGTGCTTACCGTGTGCAGCCCCGTCGTGGGTCTCCTGTGTGAGGGTTTCACGGAACAGGCGTCCTCGGAGGGAGGGACGGTGGTCATCCCGCCTCCCACAATGAGGAGACCACAGTGCAGAGAGGGGCTGTCGGCGCTCAAGGCCTCGTGGCAAGGAAGCGACAGGGCTGGCCCTGGAGCCCAGGCCTCCCAGGTCTCGGGCTGCCCCCGCTGCCTCGGCATTTTGTGCGCTCTGCCACGTATCATCCCACCCACCCCATGAAGTCGCGGGGAGCATGATCTCCTTTTACAGTCGCGAAAACCGAGGCCCGGAGAGGCGAAGTCACGTGCCCAACGTCACACGACAGGTGGGTTTGGATCTACGTTCCACACTTTGGACCACCAAGCCCTGCTCCTTGTAATCCTGTGCCTGGAAGAGCGTTCATCCACCCCAAGGGGAAGGAAGGTGGGCCAGCGGGCTAAGCCCCTCGAGGTCTGCAGGACCAGGCAGGAGGCTCTGGAGGAGGCAGGGTCCCCAGGTGGGCAGGTGGGAGCGGGTGGGCCTGGGGAGCCTCCTGCCTTCCGCCCCCACACGCAGGGACAGCTGCCAGGACGACCAGGCTGACAATGGCTCCTTGTGTCAGCGCGGCGGGTGGGGGAGGGGGCCATTGTTCTCCAGGCCACCTTACCGCCTTGGCTGGCTGCGGGCGGTCCCCGTCCCAGGGCACTTGGCGTGGGGCTGTTCCGGGCGCCCGAGGGAGGTGTGTGTGTGTGCGCGCGCACGGAGGGGTGTGTGTTTCTCACACTGTCTCTGAATGGGCCCACACACGTCTTGCACACTGTGGTGGTGTGTCTGAGCAGGCTTGTGGCTTTTGGTGTCTGTTGCGTCTGCCAGGGTATGTCTCCCCGGGTGTAGCCGGCTGCTTGCGTATCTGCCTCTGTGTTAGCCCCGTCTCCGCAGAGTTTTGCTTGCGTGCTCCAGTGTGTTGAGTGGGCCTGTCTGGGTCTGTCTCTGGAGGGTCTTGACACCAACGGGACCACGGAGTGTTGGCTTCAGGTGAGGCCCAGCGAGGAAAGGGCTTTCGGATGGAGGAGCCGGCCTGCACAAAAGCCAGGAGACAGGAGAAGGCGGGGGGCTGAGCAGGAGCTGCTGGGGAGCAGGGCCGCTGCAGTGGAGTGAGCGATGGGGGGACGCCACGGGGCCGTCCTTCGGAGTAAGATGGAGTTGGAGGGAGGGCTTGCATCGGGAGCCACTAGGTCTGGTGGGGTTTTATGGAGCTGCCTCTGGCTATGGCTAGAGAGTGGACTGGGGGGCAAGCGTAAACGCTGTTGGCGGGCCTACCACGACGCGTTTCACGAAGCAGTCCCACGGCCGTGACCTCAGGGTACCCAGCTCCCCATTTTGCAGAGGTGAAAACTGAGACCCGGGAACGAGAAATGCCTTCCAAGGCTGGAAGTTTGGGAGCTGGCCCAATGCCAGAGCCAGCTCTCATTCTTCTCGCCTTGCCTGCCCGCCCCTCCCCAAGTCCCTTCCTGTCCCGAAGCTCTGGGGGTGTCTGCGCTAAAGACAGAGGACCTGGCATCCCCCTCTTCTCAGGAACCGGGACTCTGGAGCCAGAGGGCTTGGCTCCAAATCCTGTCTCTGCCACTTAAAAGCTGTGTGACCTTGAGCAAGTCACAGAGTCTCTGTGTGTTCCACTTTCCTCATCTGCAAAATGGGGCTGGCGTTCATACTGACCTCTAAAGTGTACCACTGATAACCTATCCACATCTGCTTTCTCTTTCTCCAACACCCTTGCCGCCCGCGAACACACCCCATGTTATATTTATTGGCTGTGGAACTAGAGTATCAGTTCCATGAAAGCAGGAAGTCTGGGTCTGCTCAGTACTAAGGTCTAGACTAGTGTCCTGCACGTGGTCGGTGCTCAGTGAATTTTTACTGAATGAATGAAACCAGGTAATACATGTAAAATGCTGGAACAGGGCCTGACACATAATAAGTGAAACCTGAGTCTCATTAGTGTTCCCTGGGGAGTGGTCCAGGGGTGGGGAATGTGGAAGCATGAAAGCCCGGTCAGCCCGCTTTGGGAATTGGGGTCGCCATTCCATTTTCTGCACGTTGTTCTTCCCTTCTGGATCTGCTTAGCCCTCCCTGGGCCGGATGTCTCCTGTCTTTGGTCTCCAGGGTTTGAAGACAGGTTGGCTCTGGCAGGTGCTATGAGCTGGTGGTTTCATGCCCCTGTGAGGGATCCGTGACTCAGTTTCCCCAACTGGCCGTGGCTTATCCAGAGGCTTCAACGGTCTCTGCTCTCTCAGGACATCCCTCAGTATTGGAGCCTGACCACCCCCATTGCACCACCCCCAGGATTCCCACCCCTCTGTCAACAATAGCAACTAGACCTCTCAGGGCAGGGGGCAAAGCCGGCTGAACCACGTGGGTAGATGTTTGTCAAGTCCAACATGTTTGTCGAGGAGGCGGCTTTCTGACCGTCCCATCTTTCTAAGAAAGAATGAAAGTAGAGGCTTGGAGACTGACTAGGTGGTGTGGTGGTCCCCCAAGCTCCTGCGTCCAGCTTCCTGCCACCTGGTCATTGGCTCTGTGTCCCTGACTTCCTGGGGAGAGCCAGGAGCTGGAGAAGAGGATCGGGGCCCAGGCAAAGAAGAAGCTTTCTCTGTCCTCTCACTTCCTTCCTCCTTTGCTCCTGACACCCTGGCCTGGCTGGGGGCGTGCAGCAGGCTCCGGGGCTGCTCTGTAAATGCGGGCAGTGGGGCGGGGGGGCGGGGGTAGCTGTGTTCCCTTCCTCGGGGCCCAGCGGGGCTCCGGGGGCTTGTTCAGCATAACTGGGTAACGTGACATCTGCCCACAGACCCCCATTCTGTCCTCAAGCAACTGCCAGGGTTCAGGCCTCTGTCTTCCGGTCCTCCATTCTCCCCAAATTTATTGAGCACCTACTGTGTTCCCTGCCCCCCCCCCCCTCAGGGGGACAATGAAAAGGCCTCCAGGCCAGGGACTCTTGGAGTTCCTTTTAAATGTGATGAAGACCCACTGGAGGGCTCTGAGCAGAACAGTGCAGAACTGCCTTTTTAATTCATGTCACAAAGGAAGCATTGTCCTTTCAGAGGATCCCTGTGGCTGTGCTGGGGAGAATACACTGGTTGGGGGGGTTGGGCAGTGAGGATGGGGATGGGGATCAGGGACGAGTGACCCGGCCGAGAGCGCTGGCACGGAAATAGCAAGAAATGGCATCCAGGGCATATTTTGAAAGTTGGAGTCACAGCGTTGCCTGCTGGGGGCCCTGTCGGGGGAAAGAGAGGAGTCTGGGATGACTCCGGGGTTTCTGGTCGCATAACCGGGAGGCTGGTGGGACCATTTTCTGTAATGGGGACGAGGGGGAAGGTGCAGTCCTGGGGAGCAGGGGCTGTGCTCAGTGCAGGGGCTGCTGAGTTGGGGTGTTTTGGAGGTGGAAAAGGAAAGCCGCTGCCTGGGCCTGCACGTCGCCACCACCTTTGTCCTGGTCCAGATGCCCAGCACCCACCCCAGGAAAATGGCAACAGCTGCTCAATTGCCCTCCCAGCCTGTCCCTGTTTCCTCTTCCACATCGGTCAAGTTCATTTTCAGAAGGCACAACTCTAGCCCCTGTCTCTCTTCTGCTCTAGAACTGTTGATGGCTCCCTGGCACCTGGATAAAGTCCAAACACCTGGGCTGGGTTAGCCTGGCCCTGAGCCATCTCCCCTGACCTCTGCAGCCTCATCGCCCTCCTGGCCAGTGAAGCAGACCACCCTTGGCTCCTCCAGCACGTCCTGTCCCTGCCCACCTCCTCAGTCTTGCTCGAGCCATTCCTGTCACCTGGTGCCCTTTCTCATCCCACCTCAGGGATGACTTTAGAGGCCGTGCCTCCAATGTCGATAGCCTTTTGTTTGTTTCTTTCTCCCAGGACATATCACACAGCGCTTTGAGTTACACTTATTTATATCTTGCCCTCCTCCCAGAGGGCAGAAAGGTGCCGGATTCATTTCTGGGCTCGATGCCAGGCCCCGAGCAGATCCTGGTTAGATCCGGTGAGCAAACTGTTAGATGCTGCATTTGCAGTGGTCTGGACCCACCCAGCACCCATTGCCCTCTCTGCTGGAGAAGAGGCTGTGATTTTCCTTGGGGTATCACTACCTTCTTTGTCTGTGTGTATCAGGTGAGCTGACCCCATCCCCAGGGGTAGACTCATGACCCAGGCCTGGCCAATCAGAACTTCCCAGGCCCCTGGCCACAGTGATTGGTTCACGGATGGACACTGATCCAATCAAAGCCAACAGAACCCAATTCTCCGGAATAGAAGAGAAGACGTTGTTGCCTGGAGGTGGCTGAGCAAATGTGATATCAGCCTGGAGCAGCAGTGGCTTCTGTGCCATCATGATAGCAAAGAGTGTCTGAAAATACAGCCAATATAAGGCAAAGTGGAGCTGAGAAATGGACACAGCTCAAGTACCAAAAACATCATTGCTGCTCCTGGATCCAGCTGTACCTGAAGCAGACATAACCTTGAACTTCTTAGTTATATAAGCCAAGATATTTTTCTTTCTCATTCTCTCTTTTAAAACCCTCTTTGAGTTAGGTTTCCATTGCTTGAATTGCAAGAATTCCTGACAAAGACATGAGCTTTCTCCACAATCTATCTCTTGCCATCTCAGTGCCTATCCCTCTCTGCATGGCCCTGTGTGAAATTCCCTCTCGAGGAACTGCTCTGAATCTCTATCCACGGAGCTGATGTGCTTGTTTCTTTCCTCACTCTTGGATGATGCAAGTAGTGATCGCTGGTTCTAGCTGCCTTGAGCAACTTCTGAAACAAGGCAGGGGGCAAATTGAATAACCTAAAGAAGTAAAATGGGCTCATTTGAAGGCCAGACCTTCAGCCCCATGGCTGCTCAGCATGGGCCTTGGCACGCAGAGGATGCTTCTCGACCGTTCTTTGCTTGATAATGTCAGGCAAGTTTTTCAAACCTGGACATAAAGGGCATTCTGGAGCAGAACTTCTCTGTGAAGTACCCTAACCAGAATTTCTTCCTCCAGAATTGGTTAGGAGAGGGTTTCTCAATGGGCACACTATTGGCATTTGGGGGGCGGATCATTCTTTGTCCTGGGGCCATCCTGTGCCTTGCAGGATAGTTGAGCAGAACCCTCGTTTCTTTACCCACTAGATGCAAGTAGTACCCATGCCTGGAGCTGTGACAACTACAGATGTCTTCAGACATTGCCACATGTCTCCTGGGGGGTAAACTCACCGCTGGTTTAAGGAAAGCACTTTGCACCAGGCCTGGCACGTGGCAAGCACTGGATATATACCAGCAATCATAAGGTGGTGATAACGGGCTGAGGATGATGCGGGGAGGGGTCAGATCTGGCCAGCTTAACTGAGAGGGGAATTTATTGGAGGAACAGGGGAGCTTGCAGAATTTATGAGGGGCAGGGAGAATCAGGTAACAAAAGCACAGAAACAAAGACAGATAGCACGAGCGAGGGTCCAGATAGCACGAGGTAGATGTGCTGAGGCTATAATGAGCTACTCCTTGTTTCGGTCGTTCCTCCCAAATTCTCCTTCCTGCAGGATGCATTTTGCTCAGGCCCTCCCCGCCCACCATCCCATAGACTCGGGGAAGGTGGGCTTCCGCCAAGTTGGGGGCGGGGAGTGGCCGGTCACAGCTGTTTTAAGCCAATCACAGTGACCCCTTTGCCCTTGCCGGGGATTGGCTTAGGCTGCGCGTGGAACGAAATTCTGGCCAGTGATACCCTTTGGGAAATCTGCTGGGGGCTTCTGGGAAAGGGTTCCTTGCTCTTCAAAAGAGACAGCGGCTTGTTTCATTAAGCATAATGAGGGATTTCCTTCCTTTTTAAGATGGAAAAATACTCCATTGTATGTGAAGACCACATTTTCTTTATCCATTCATGTGCCGATGGACACAGGTTGTTTCTACATCTTGGCCACAGTGGACAGGGGAGTGCAGATATCTCTTGAAGAGATCCTGATTGCAATTCTTTTGGATAAATACCCAGAAGTGGGATTGCTGGATCATTATGCTAAGTGAAGTAAGCCAGTCACAGAAGGACAATTACTGTACGATTCCACTTATGTGAAGTATCTAAAATAGTGGAACTCACAGAAGCAGAGAGTAGAATGGTGGTTCACAGGGGCTGGGGGACTGGGAAACGGGAGTTGCTATTCAACAGGTATAAAGTTTTGGTTATGCAAGATGAATTAAGTTCTAGAGATCTGTGAAAAAGATCTCATGTTAAATGCTGTCACTACAATAAAAAAAGAGTATTTATAAAACAACATTTGTGGAGTTTCCAGTGATACCAACATTAAAAAAAATTTTAGGGGTGCCTGGGTGGCTCAGTCGGCTAAGTGTCCGACTTGATTTTGGCTCAGGTCATGATCTTGGGGTCGTGAGATCGAGCCCGGTGTGGGGCTGGCACTCATCACAGAGTCTGCTTGTCCCTCTCCCTCTGCTCCTCCCCCTGCTCATGTGCACTCTCTCTGTCTCTCTCCCTCTAAAAAAAAAAAAAAGAAATTATATATGAAAGTTCTTAGCTAAAGAGGAATAAAAGAAACAGGCTCTTTTCTCTCTAGTGTTGGAGTGGGGAGAGGTCATGATGTTTGGAGCACTGGCAGCCATCTTGAGTGAATGAAGAAAACCAGTTGGAGGGCAAAGCTTAAGTCCCGAGACCTGGGTCTTTGCTGATGTCACTAAGCTGCTGAATTAACCAGTCCCTGATTCCTGATCACTTCCAAGGGTCCATGTAGATAAGCTGTTGCTTCCAAATTGGTCTCAACGTTTCCCACCTGCCTCCTGAGTAGAGGTCACTTTCACTGCCAGGGAGGTTGGATACACAGATCCTCATCTGGCTGTCAGACATATTCTGTGGCCTGGCAGTGTCCGCAGGGCTCAGGCAGGAGGACTCCCAGGAGACCACCTACCAGCTTCTCCATGACACTCAAACTTGGCCTCTCTGGGCCTCGGTTTCCCCATCTGTGAACTGGGGATGGTCATGGGACCACCTATTTCACAGGGTGTTATGAAGATTAAATGAATTATTTCCATTACAGTAACAGGTGCATGGTCAGTGCTCAACAAACGTGAGCTATTACTATTACTGCTGTTGTTGTTATTCCTTGGGGAAAGGGACAGAGGAACTCTGCTGACTCGGTGTGGGGGGCAGGTGCAGAACGAGACTGGCAGCCTCCAGAGGGGAGAGTGAGGTGGAAAGAAAGGATTCAACCAAAGCAGGTAATGAAGCTGTAAGAAGCATGAGCCACCTCTGCTCCTGAGGTGGGGAGACTCCAGGGTCCCCAACTTGAGAGGAAAGGAAAGGTGAAAGGAGAGGGGTTCCAGGAAGGCGGGAGGCTGAGGAACACCCTGGTCTGAAGCCATGAACAACAGAGGCAGCATTCACTCCTTCAAAGACCCCGCAGTGTCACCGCGGCTTGAGGACCTTCCCCTCGAGGCCTTGGGGGTCTTACTACACGCTCCAGAGCCTCCAGTGTTCAGGCTTGGGCCTCCTTCCTCACCCAGCCAGATTCCCCAGCACCTCCACACTGCACCCTGAGCCCCTTCTGGCCCCAGGTCCCGCACCTGACTCCCCCAGGGTGACACGGGGCCTTGCTGTCACCAGATGGATTGAGCAACTCAGGTGAGTGTGCGTTTTCCAGCTCATGCTAACCGCCATTCATTCACTTCCTCTCAGCCCATGGAACATTCGGTTCCTGGTCATTTCACCATGATCCTTCCTGTGAGCCTTCCATGATGCAGCCCGGAACCTGAGTCATCCCAACATTGAACCTCCCTTGACCTTGGTCTTGTAAGCCCCTGGCCTGGTTCACAGATGAAAACAGAAATACTGACGATGGTGTTGGTGATGGTGGCTACCGAACCTAATGGCGTCCTGAGCGCTTAGGTGTACTAACAGTCAAGATGGGTACGGTGCTTCTCCCCATTTTCTGGATGAGGAAAATGAGACCCAGAGAGGCTAGCTAGTTCATAAGCGAAGGAGTCATGATTTGAACCCAAGCTGTCTGGTATAGAAATTCAACCATGTTTAGTTAGATAATTTAACAAAACACCTTTGTAGAAAAATAAGAAGCAAAAAAATGGGGAATTCCTTTAGAAGGTATCATCATTTCACTCATTCCTATCAAACAGATATTTCCGTAGCAGAGTCTGTGTCAGCCAGCGCTTTGTACCGGACCCGTGGAAGTCAGTGTGCAGGGAAGGGCCCTGCCGCCCAGAGCCCACGGACCCCTGAGGACAGTCAGTCAGTTGAAGGCCTGACACGTGAAACCGAGACCGCTCATACCTGTGAGATCAGAACTGGTGAGACTCTGAGCTGGGAACACTGTGGCGTTTCTAGGCTTTTTAATGTAATTCTTTCAAGAAAGAGACCTTCCCCCAAGGCCTCCCCTGCAAAGGTAACGGTAGGTGTTGGGTGTGGGGAGAAGGGCCAGAAGACTTCGAGGGAGCTTGCGATGTCGCAGGAGACACAGGGCTGTGGGGTCACACCTCTGACCCCAGATCCCAGCCTTGGTCCCCACCAGCATGTGACCTAGGGCAGTCATGTCCCCTGTCCTCTGGGAGCCTATCTCCGCATCCGGAAATAGGGACAATGAATCCTTCCAGGGCCATCACGAGGATACAACCCGTCTGGGTGGAATACCATGACCTGCACTCACAGCTAATCTCCTGGTTGGCGTGAGGGAAGATGACTCCAGAAAGGCTGAACGATGACAGTTCATCATCTTTGCAAACCTCAGCTGGGCTCAAAGAGTGTTCCAGACCTCACTGGCAGAGACGCCCAAGGCCCTCTCAATAAGGCAGGCAGCTGGAGGAGGACTACAGTGGCCTGGGGGTGGCGGTGACCCAGCTCCCTCTGCGAATGGGCCCCCCTTGCACCAGGAGCTATTGCCCTCAAGAGAAGCCAGAAATCCAGATCTTTACATCAGCTTTACCAATTTTTCTTAAAGACTTATTTATTTATTTATTTATTTGAGAGAGAGAGAGAGAGAGAGCAAGGCAGGGGGAAGGGCAGAGTGAGAGGGAGAGAAGCAGACTCCCTGCTAAGTGTGGAGCCCCATGTGGGGCTCGAACTCATGACCCTGAGATCATGACCTGAGCTGAACCAAGAGTTGGTCCCTTAACCGACTGCGCCCCCCCAAGCGCCCCTCAGCTCTCCCAGTTTTTAAATGTTTCTGGCTAATTGAGAAAAAGCACCGGCCTATCACCCCACACCTTCTAGAATGGCTATAATCAAAAAGATGAACAGCAGCAAGTGTTGGCAAGCCTGTGGACTGACTGGAAGGCACACACACTGCTGGTGGCAACCGCTTTGGAAAAAACAGTCCAGCCCTTTTCCGGAAGGTTCCACACAGTTACCACATGACCCAGAATGCCACTTGCAGGCGTGTACCCAGATTTGAACGCCTACGTCTGAACAAACATGTGCACATGGATGTTCTTGGCAGCACTAGTCAAAACAGCCCAACGGCAAAAACAACCCAAGTGCCCATCAACCGATGGAGGCTGAAACGTGCGTCTCGCTGTGTGACGGAATACTACGTAGCAACAAAAAGGAGTAAAGCACTGATTCAGGCCACAGTGTGGCTGAGCCTTGAAAGCATTCTGTTAAGTGAAAGCAGGCAGACAAAAATGGCCGGATAACATATGCTTCCATGTATATGAAATGTTCAGAAGAGGCAAATCTATAGAAACAGAAAGTGGATCAGTAGTCACCAGGGGTAGGAGTGAGGGGAAATGGGAAGTGACTGTAAATGGACCCGGGGTATTTTGGGGAGGGAAATGGATTGTGGTAATGGTTGCACCACTCTGTGAAGATATTAAAAAAAACCATTGACTTGTACACTTTAAAGGGGTGAATTGTGTGGTATGTGAATTATATCCCCATAAAGCTGTTAAAATAAGAATGTGTTGGGGCGCCTGGCGGGCTCGGTCAGTAGAGCATGTGACTCTTGATCTTGGGGTCATGAGTTTGAGCCCCACGTGGGGTACAGAGATTACTTAAAAAAAAAAATTTTTTTTTTAAAAGCTTGAAAAACAGAAAAAGAAAGTGTTGGCTCACAGAGCTCCTCAGCGGGTCAGAGTCAACCACAGACTGCACTTCTCAGCTCCCTGGTTAAGGAGGTCATCCTCCGTTATCCAGACATTCAGCTATCCAGAACACTGGTTCCTGAAGAGCATGAATTTCCCACCTGGGCTCAGCATCAATAAATGCACTAGAATGGGGGAGTTGCTCCTGCCACTTCCCTTTTTGCTCCTTTTAAACATAAACCATTAAATGCAAACAGAGAAAGCTTCTGTTTGTTAAATGGCCAGGAAATGGAGTAGGGTAAGCCTGTGGTTCAGGTCAGCTCCAAAGACCAGGCCCAGCATCTTCCATTGTGTCCCTCCGTGAGGGTTCTGGACTCTGGTACACGGGCCTGGCAGGGCAGGGGGTGCTGCTTTCCTGCCCCTTGCCTTCTCCCTGTCTCACCTGTGTGGGCAGAGTGGAGACCGTTGTGAGCATTAGGAAGGCGGCGGGGACCCCAAAAGGAGAGGTCAGGTGGGGAGGCCTGTTGAGCCGTCGCTCTCTGACCCCATGGACCTGAAGGAATAAAACGCTCCATAGTCAGGCCAGGACTGTAGGGTTAGGAGAGACCTGAGAGGCCCTGTGTGGGAATCTGAGCCTTTTCGGGCAGCCAGACAGGAGGCCTCCGGCTCAGGGAGGGGCTGAGGAGAGAAGACGGTGGTGGGGAGAGGCCTATGTGTGTGGTCAGCAAGGAGATTTGACAAGGCAAAGGCTGACCTGAATCCTGGCTGGGTTTGTGGCCCATCGGCTACTGGCTGAGGACATCCTGTGCGCCAGGCACCAGGACTTCCTGCGCTAAGTGGTCGTGGGGCAGGACAAGGTCTCTGCACTGGTGGAGATGAGCTCCTAGTGGAGGGCCCGGCAATGGGCTGACAAGCAATACCCCCAGCACAGAATGCTGCATGGGAACGATCTTGAGCCCATCAAAGCATGATGAGAAGCTGGAACAAATGGGTGTTCAGGGAAGGCCTCTCTGGGGTGGTGACACTTAGCTGACCCTTGAGTGAAGTCATATCTGAGGCAGAGGAACTGCAAGTGCAAAGGTCCTGAGGCTAGGCTCAAAGAGGGAGATTGATACCAGCAGGGAGATCACAGGGGCCAGACCCGGCAGGGCTTTATGTACCCCTGTGAGGACTTTGGCTTTACTCCGACTGACCTGGGAGCCGTGAGAGTTTCTGAGCACAGGAGGCCCTGATCCGATCTAGGTTCTAATAGGATCCCTCTGGCCCAAGACAGAGAATGGACTCTGGGGTCAGGGAAGGGGCAGAAGCAGGGAAGCCAGGGAGGAGGCAACTGCGGTAGTCCAGAGGGGAGGGGACAGTGGCTGGCCCGGGGCATAACCATAGAGGTGGGAAGACGCGGTCGCTATTTTCTCTGATCACCCAACTTCCTCCTGCTGTACGGGTGGAACCAAGGAGATGCTACACGCGTGTGAGACACACACACACGTGCTCACACTCACACTCAACACACACATAGATGCTACACATACAGACGTGGACATGCACTTGGTTTTACATATATACTATACACACACATGGAGTCGACACATGTATTACACAAATCCACACACATCGAGACTCCACACCTCTATAATACCTGCATGTGTGTGTTCTCCATTCGTGTAGATTCAACATTTGTGTTATACACCCAGCTGAGCTGGAGCTCTAACAGTGGAGTAAGCAGACCTCATGTCCGGGAGGTGGCCCAGCTCTGGTGTTTGAGAATGCAGACTGCTGCTCGGGACCTGTGTGACTCAGGCCTGGCTTCTCGGATCCTCACCTTCCTCATCTTTAAAATGGGGATGATGGGCGCCTGGGTGGCTCAGTTGGTTAAGCGACTGCCTTCGGCTCAGGTCATGATCCTGGAGTCCCGGGATCGAGTCCCGCATCGGGCTCCCCGCTCGGTGGGGAGTCTGTTTCTCCCTCTGACCCTTTCCCCTCTCATGCTCTCTCTCACTCTCTCTCTCCAATAAATAAATAAAATCTTAAAAAAAAAATGGGGATGATAAGGCCTGCCTCGGAGGGTTGTCGGGAGGACTGGGTGAGATCACCATGTATGCAAAGCAGCTGGCCTGGCTCGGAAACCGGGACTCTTTATTAATAGTCATCACACTAATAATGAGGTCTGTTCTGGGGCCAAGCAAACACCATAGAGCACCTTCCTGGAACGAGGGTGTGCATACACACCTGCACACCCACCCTCTGGCTTGGGGTGCGTGGGAAAGGGGGCAGACCTGCAAGCCTCTGTATGGGCAGGATGGACCAAGTACTAGAGCGGAAACCTGTGAGTCAGCTATGGGCATAAAACAGTTAATGGGCGTGCCACCCTGGCTTCAGTAATGATGGAGAGACAGAAGCTTAGATAATGTCCAGAAGGCAGGTGGATTAGTCAGGGCTCTCTTGGTTCTAAGGGACAGAAACCTAACTCAAACCGGTTTAAGCAAAAGAGAATTTATTGGGTCATGTAAAAAAAAAAAAAAAAAATCCAGGGGTGTACTTGCTTCAGGCATAGCTGGATCCAGGTGTTTGAGTGATATCATCAGTTTTCTCTGTCTCTCTGGAAGGTTGAGTTAATTAATATATGTGAAGTTCTAAACAATACCTAACACACCTAACGCTCTATAATATTAGCTATTATTTTATTACTACTATTATTATTACTGCTACTACCCAGAAAAAGTGAGTGCTCTTTCTCAATTATTCCTATGAAAGTCCCAGGACTGGATCTTGTTGGCTTGGGTTGGGTTAGGTAGCCATTTCTGAACCAAACCCTGTGACCCACGGACAGGTTCTGTGACCATCGGGTTCGGTGACAAAGTTCATGTGACTATGCTTGAGGCTGGAAGTGGGGTCAGCCCCACTCAAACCCCATGGACTGGGAATGGTGGAGAGGGGCTCCTTACAGGAAATGGGGGCTGGCAGGCAGCACTGGTCTTCCATCACCCAGGAGGCCTGAGGCCAACTTCTGGCTGTAGAGCTACCTTCTTTGCACAAGGGCGGCCTTTAGAGTTGGACAAATATGGACTTGATACCCAGTTCCATTGCCTCATTAGCTTCACCTCCCCGTGTCTCAGTTTCCCTGCCTATGAAATGGGACAATTATCACACCTCCTTAATTCAACAAATATTTTATGGGACACTGTATCTGACATTTATTGGATACCACTAGCCTCAACACTTTTTATGTATTAACTCATTTGACCCTTGCAACAGTAACCCTGGGAGTTAAGTATAACCATCCCATTTTTTTTTTAATTTATTTATTCTTATGTTAATCCCCATACATTACATCATTAGTTTTAGATGTAGTGTTCCATGATTCATTGTTTGTGCATAACACCCAATGCTCCATGCAGAATGTGCCCTCCTCAATACCCACCACCAGGCTAACCCATCCTCCCACCCCCTCCCCTCTAGAACCCTGTTTGTTTTTCAGAGTCCTAACCATCCCATTTTTTACAGATGAGGAAACTGAGGTCCAGAGAGGAACAGTCACTGGTCTAAAGTCACCCAGCCGGGGAGTGGCAGAGCTGAGATCTGACCCAGTCGGCCTGGCTTTAGAGTCCCCGAACCGTGGATTATGAGATGAGGCTGTCATGTAGTACTTTCTATGTGGAGGCTGTCCCTGGCGAGGTGTGTCCCTTTTCACCCACCTGTTTTTCTCATCTATAAAATGGCCCCACAGTTGTGGACTAGAAAGTGAAACAGAAGGAGACAAAGTGACATGGGGGCCTTTGTTTATTTAACAAATACTTAGCACCTATTATGTGCCGGGCACTGAACTAGGTATTGTGGACACAGCAGTGAATGCAACAAGCTCCCTGTCCTCTTGGAGCTGACATTCCAGCACTGGGACAGGCGACAGATGAGGTGACACAGAGGTGAACAAGATGATCTTGGATGGTGAGTGCTCTGGAGAAAACAGAACTGGGTGACAGGACAGTGACAGGGCAGGTGAGAGGCCTCTAGGAAGAGAGGCACCTGAACTGTGTCCGGAAGGAGGAGAAGGGGTCTCCCTGGGAAGATCCAGGTGTGGAAAGCACCTTTCCAACAGGGGGAACGGCAAGTGCAAAGGTCCTGAGGTGGGAACTGGGGAGACAGAACTGGGGTAGACCCTACTTTTGCTGCTGGCTGGGAAGGCAACGCTCAGAGAGAGGAAGGGTCAGACCCAAGGCCACGCAGCTCAGAGGTGGTGCTGGGGATGTGTGGGGAAGCCACGCGGAGGGTGGGATGGGGGCGGGGGGGGGGGGATGCTGGGACCTCTGTAGACACAGCCCAGGCAGAATCTTCCAGGCTGCTAGAGGGGCAGCCTCCCCTTCCTGAGCCATCCCAGCTGTTGCAGGGGCTGACGATGTCCTGGTTCCCTTGTTTAATGACAAACGTTTTTCACCCTCACTTAATTATGCAACAGACGCCCGTGAATCTGCCACCATCTGGCCCCACTCCCTGGGTGGGATGACAGGTCCCGGTGACTGTCCTTGAGGCCTGAGAGGGGTACCTTGACGGGGAGGGTGCCACGCTTGGTATGGCCTCGGTCCTGGGGCTCCACGTCCTCGTCTGCAGCGAGAAGGAGGATGGAGGGACAGTGTGCCCATCAAGACACTAGTAGCAAGCGCCGGACACGACGTAGCCCTCGGTTCTCAAAGGGGCCGGGATGCTGTCCCCGCAGGCTTGTCACTGCCCGCGTCTGGAGAGCAGAGCAGAGAGGGTACAGTTCCGCCTCCCGGCAACCTCGGCAGGGGCTTAGAGTTCCCACTTGGCCGATGGAGAGACTGAGGCTCTGAGAAGCTCGGGAACGTGCCCAGGGTCCCAGGGCATCTGCGTGAGGGAGGGGTTCGGCGCTGGGCTCCCGTAGGTCCAAAGCCCTCCCCTTTCCACACCAGCACC